GCGCTGCCGCTCTGCGCCGGCCCGCAGCCCCCGAGCCAGCGGCCTCCGCCGCGCCCCGCCCCGCGCCGCTTGTTTACCCTCCGCGCTGGCCAATGGCGTGCCGCCGCTCTGCCGCCCGCGCCAGCTGATTGGCTGCGGGGCCGCTCCGCTCCCGCCCGCGCGCCGCTCCGCCGAGCACCATTGAGACCGGCTGAGTGGGCGGGGGCGGAGGCGGCCAATGGGCGCGCCGCGATTTGCCTGGCTCCGCCCCGAACGTTTTTCATTCATAAAAAAATAGAAGGGGGAAAAGACTGACGGGTGGGGCCGGGGCAGCGCAGGATTTAAAGGGGCCGCGGCCCTTTGCGGGAGCGGGATTGGGGGTTTAACGGGCGGCCTTGGGGGTCGGAGAATTGGGGGGGACAACCCTCGGGTCTGGCTTCAAGGGGAGGAAGGAGCGGGGCCGTGCACAACGGGCCCAAGAAGCTGCCACACAGCAAGCCACGCAGATCATACGGACCTCGGGCCTCACAGGCCGTGGGGTCCCCTCTGCTTTTTTGGGACGTGGTTTCACACAAGCGAGGCAGCGTCCCTGCGAGCCCAGGCCCCAGTAACCCAAGTCTGAGTACTGATTTTGGCAGCCTCCCCCTGAAGCCACGGTTGCCTTTTAAAAGGGGCATGGGAAAAATATTTCCCACCTGCAAGGGCTTTGGGGCCACGGATCCCTCCAAGGAGATTAATGGACATACACCCTTGAAGGGCACCAAACGTCCCAGAGGTTTGGGAATGAATTTAGGTCATAATGGTGCTGCTGGTTGCCTGCCAGGCCTCCTAATGCAGCATTTCCCTTCTAAATGCCTCAGTTTCCCCACCTGTAACAAGGGGGTGATACCTGCCGTGGGACCTGGCAGTGGCTGCTCAGGGAGGGCACAGCAGTTTGCCCAAGATAAATGGGCTGTGTGGAGGGAGACTAGGAAGTTATTGCTGGAGAAGGCAAAAACAAGGTGTTTGGTTACACGCTGCACATCTCAGCTTGGGAAGGAGAAAAACCTTCTGCTTGGATCCTGGGAAGCTGCCCAGGCATTCGGAAGCCTGTCAGTACAGAGATGTCCTGGCCAGCTTGAAATCCTCAGGTCATGGGCTTCTCAGTGTCCTGGGCAAACTGCCCAGCGTGTCTTTGGGCTGCTGGTAGGAGTTCCTCTGTGATGCTGGGCTGCCAACAGCTCCCGAGTCCTCCAGGGCCACCTCCACCCCCAGGGATGACGGTGGTCACGGCAGGTAGCTCCCGTGCCGTGGTGTCCTGGGTGCACTGGACAGGAAGGACAGAGGGCACAGGGTGTCCTTGCTGCTCGGAGCCCGTTCCTGGGGGCTCAGCAGGCGCCGTGCTCTCACTTCCCCTTGCGCAGAGGCAACCGTGCTCAAATCATGCAGGTAAAATTAGCAGATGACACATGGGCAGGCAGGTGCAAAGCCCAGGCTGGGGAGCACGGCGGGCACTGGGGATGAGGGGGTCACAGCAGAGCTGGGGACACAACGGGGAACCCAGGGCAGCTGCAGATCTGCACGGGCCGGGGGCTGCTCAGCACCCCGGGGACACAGAGAGGTGACGAGGCCGAGCGCAGCCATGAGACGGGCGGGTGGGAGGTCACAGGAAGAGCTGAAACCCCTGGAGAGCCAGGGCTGGCAGGGGGGGATGGTGACCGGTGCCTGCTAAATTTAGACCCCACTGATGAAAAAAAAAAAAAAAAAAAAAAAAAAAAAAAAAAAAAAAAAGAAAAAAAAAAAGAAAATGCAGGCTCCAAATTTAGCCGGATGCAGCTCCCACTGAGCACCACTCCATCGCGCTGCTGCTGCCTGCACCCCTTCAACCCCGGCATCCTGGAGTGGGCACCATCTCCTTTAGTCCCCACTAAAAGAGCCACACCTGGCCAGGAATCACCCCCATGCACCCCAGGAGGAGTTCAGGACCACCTTTATTGGAGGCAAGGCCACAGCAGTCCGGGTGTACACGGCAACACGCGCTACGCTACGGACACCATTCCATGCAGGCAACCACGGCTACGCACACAGAGGGGGTGGGCTGAGCTCCTGGGGCAATGGGGCTGCCCAGCTCTCAGGGGTCCCCCAGTGCAGCACTGGCACCAGTGCCCAGGGGCTTGTCTGGGGGTTTGGTTCCATCCCACGCGCTTGGGAACCGGGCTGAACTGGGAGGCACTGGGGAATGGGGGGATCAAGGCCTCGAGTGCCCCTCAGCTGCATGGCTTGTTCCTCCCTGGAGCCAGGGACAGCTGGGCTGAAGTCCCAGCCCCTGTGGGTCCCTCCTGGGCTCGGGACCTTTGCACCATCAGACTAAGGAGGTCAGGAGCTGGCAGGCCCGTTGAACCATGCCTTTGGCAGTGTGGGAGCACACTGGAGCTGGGCACCCTGGGGCAGGGATCATCTCCCTGGCCATCAGAGGAGACCTCTGGGTTGGAGCCTGGCAGAGTGGTGCTGGTGTGTCACCGTCCCACTGGCCCAGAGTGGTGGCCCTGGGCTCTCTGTGCCCTGCAGGACGTGCCTGAGTGTTCACCCCTGGATTTCAGCTGCTCACCCCCTGGCACTGCCAGGCCCAAGGGTGCAGGCACAGGCACAATGCCCTCCTGCTCCCCCAGCTCTGCCACCACAGACAGCAAACCACAGCAGAGACCCCAGTGCTGCTCTTTGCCCAGAGCCCAGCAAACTGTGACGGGGGCGAGGAGCAGGAGAAGCACTGCTGACTCCCCAGGCACTGCTGATTCCCTGCAGGCTCTGGGATAAAACCCTGGGTTGAGGCTGAGTGGGCAGGGAAATAGAACCAAACCTGTTGACCTTGTGTGCTGCCATCCCACAGATTTGTCACCCTCCTGCTGGCAGAGCTCTGGAGATGGCTGAGGTGGTTTTTCCACCCTCCCCGAGCGTGGGGCTGTGAAGCACTGCTGCCCTTGGCCATGGACCAGGGAGATGGCAGCTGGTTCGTGGGACCTGGGGTTTGTTTGGCCTTGCTCCATTTGCTTTCACCTGGCTGCTCATAAACAGCTGCCTTGGGGGCCAAGGAGGAGGAGGAGGAGGAGGAGGAGGAGGAGGAGGAGGAGGAGGAGGGTGGATTTATGCACTGCAGTGACGCATGCCTGTGTACACAGGTCACAAACAGGTCCCTTCCAGCCACTCTGGAACAGTGCTGGCAGCACCCTCTGCCAGGAGAATGCTACTGAACAGGGACCTGCAGCATCAGGAGGGACTGAGTGGGCATGGGGGAACTGGGGAGGACAGGGTGACTTGTCCCAGCCCTGTGGCAGGGACACAGTGGGGACAAGCAAGAGTTTTCCTGCCTGCAGTGACACCCACGGGGCACACACTGCTCCCAGCAGCTTAGGAGCCTCCAGCAGCCCCAGGGCAGCTGCCTGGGAGCAGGTTTAATTCAGGATGTGGCTGTGTCCTGCATGCAGGCCCACTGCTGGAGGCACTGGGTGACTGCAGAAGGACCCAGCAGCCCTGCCCATGGTCCAGCCTTGCCAGCTCCTGCCTCCTGGGAGTACATTCAGACCGCCACAAACTCATTCATCTGTTTTCTGGTCCCTGTGCATCCTGGAGAGAAGCTGCATCCCCTGATCTGTCCATCCATGGCTGATGCCTCCAAAACCTGGATCCCAGTGGTCCCCAGCAGTCACACAGGCAGCAGCATCTGTGAGGCTTCTCAGGTTTGGAGAGGGCTGTGGGGAGACCCGACCCTAGAGAAAGGGAGGTGCAACCACTCTGCCCCACTCCCTGGAGCCCAGGAGCATCAGAGGCAGCACCTGTCACACAGGGAGAGCACCAGCCTGGCAGAGCACGTGGGAGATGTGTAAAAGGTGCTGGGGACACCTTAAAGTGAGAAGAGTTCCTGGATGTCTGTCCCCAGGGTCTCCAGCCCCCAGTGCAGGCTGACAGGCTTTAGGAGAGAGGAAAGTCCATGTGGAAGGAGGTGCCATGGAGGACAGCCAGCAGAGAAGAGAGGTGGTGTCTGTGTCCAATCTGGGCTCCTAAAAAGGTGACCCCCAGAGTCCCTTTTTTTGTCCAAAGTTTGCTAAATAAATATATAAATATGAACACAAAGCCCAGACTGGGGCCGCTTCCCCAAAAATCCCCTTTTTCGCCATTTCCCTGTAAAAATGAAGTCTCTTCCCATCCACCCCACGCTTGTCCCTGTGCACTGTCTGTCCCCAGCCTGTCCCACAGCTCGTGGCTCACTGGGCTGGCAGCAATGGCTCTTTGCACCTCTCTTAAACCCCACAGCACAAAGGTGAGCGGCTGAGATGGCTCCTCCAGGCTAAGGAAATAAATAATTCCTCCCATTGCAAGGACTGGGGGAAAGAAAGGACTG